AAATTGCCTCACGCTAGGTTTTGCCATCCTTCTTTCAAGCCTAAGGTCTGTAAGAAGGTAAGAGAATAGGCAATGAGAAGAAATACTCCCAAACAAAACAGATGAATCCACCCCACCCTACACCACAAGACCAGAGAATTTCAGGTCATATTTATAATTAAAAGAACTTTAATTTAAAGCTGTGTTTTCCATAGGAACTCTTCACTCATCTCGCCTAAAAAAGCAACATCCCAATCCAACAACAACTATAAAAACAAAAATGAAATGTCATCACAAAAATCAGTGTAACACCCTCTCTATCTCTGGACACAATAGAAGGGAAGAAAATGGCATAGTTTCCATCTTTCCCACTGCTGCCAAAACAAAATAACAATAATCCAAAAGGCTAAATGATCTTACAGTATAGCACAGACTGCGGCCTGTCCCTACACTGCCTTGCAGTCTTCCCAGGATGGACCAGTGGGATTTAACATGAACCAAATCTGTCAACCGAGTTGAAGACAGACACGTGGGTTCTAATGAGCAGTGGTGAAAAACACACTGCTTCATTCAGCTCCAAACAATGATAAATAATTCAGGAACAGAACTGCTGCAATCTAGAGCACAGCAGTAGGATTTAAAAATAGACCACAAGCTGAAGAGCCTAAGTGGGGGAATCGAGTCAGAGAAAATAGATTTATGTCAACAAATTCCCAAGCCCAGTGCCATACAGGATGCCACTCAAACTGTCACTTAACGCAGATATGGAAATTCTAATGTGCTTTTTCAAAAAACAAGTGTTTTTTTCAGGAACTTGGAAAATTTGCTAATAAGTGAGTGAAAAAGTAGAAGTACTTTTTGGAAATAGGTATCACAGAAAAGGTAAAACCAAGACTTAGGAAAGACATGTTTTTTAAGAAAAAACTAGAAGGGGGTTAAAAATCTGTTTTCTATACCACCAAGTTCTAGGTCTAATATTTATTTAGGCTTTTATTTACTATTTATACCTCTAGCATTGAGGGTACATAGCGCTCAATTTTTCTTTGCATTTTTCTACCTCTAACAGATTTGATCATGTAACAGATGCAAGCACAAGATTCTCACCTGTTAATAAAAAGGGTAACTTGAAAACTGAACAGAAGCTATGATTATGGTCTTACCAGATTTAAATGAAACTCCAAGTCTGACAGAACTGCTACGTTTGTAGTGAGATGAGGACAGTCTAAGATCCTGGATTAATATGGATCAACAGGGTTTCGATACATGCTTCATATACAAACAGTGTGGCTAGATCTAGTCAATCTTAAAAATGATGTTCTATGGATTTTAAGAACGACCAGAATCCAGACATATTCTACAAACTCAAAAATGTATGAGGCAAAGAAGTAATATTCTATATTCAAACTGCATTCCCCATAACCACCACGAATATACACTATTCTCTGTAAGTCTGAGATCAATTTCAGACACCTGAAAAATTTAACATTATATAATGATGACTAATTTATGTGTGATATAAAATACAAAAGAAATTATAATCTGATTTTTTTTTCTAGATTCAAAACAAAGAGTACTGAAGAAATCCTTGTTCAGTAAAAACTACAGACCTATATGCTTCTACCTCATCTACCTTTAGATGGAAAAAATTAGCATTGTCTCTTCATAACTGTGGCATTCAATTTAAACTAACAAAGACAGATGTACTTGGAATAAGAAAAATTTCTTTCAATTCTTAAATTCCCTAGATTCTAAGATTAAACATTAAATAGCATTTTCAAAGGAGAAAAAGACCAGTTCGTGTAAAACATGGTCCATCTAATCCACTTCTCCGGCTGACATGACCAGATGTCTTCCAAACCTGCTGCACTCACCACACAGCCAGTCATCACTTCCTGCCTGTAAATCCAGGCTCTCTTACTACTGGCAAGACAGCACTGTTAGATGGACGGGGGTGTTAGTCCTGACCCTAGTACCACCTCCGGTCATGGTAAAGAAACCCTAGTCACACTTTACACAGATCTATCCTGACCCACTTCTGACCTGCCTATTCTTTTTTTTTTTTTTTAAAGATTTATTTATTGATGATTGATTGATTGATTTATACATACAAGCACTGGGTACAGTCAGAAGCACGGGAGGGTGAGAGAATTCACCAGAGCCAGAGCGGGGAGCAGAGCAGGCAGAAGGACCGAAGTACACTGCTGAGGGGAGCAGCGGGCGGCAGGAGAGGTCTGCGCGCCATGTGGGACCCTCCTCGGGTGGCCGGAGAGCAGCCGGGGATCGAACCAGCGGTACAGAGGCTGCGGGCAGCTTCGCAACCCAGCGCTCAACCGCTGCGCCACCGGGGAGGCCCTGACCTGCCTATTCTTTTAGGGCAAGATGTTCATGGAACCAAGGGACATATCTACCTGAAACCCCTGAATCTACCACCCCCAACTATGCTCTGGACCCCAGAAACCCATGCCCAAGAAGTCCCAAGGCCATTGTCAGGGCCTTCAAAAGGCATCTTTTCCAACTGTCCTTCCACGGACAACACACATTATTATACATATTCCATGTTTTTAATGGTGGGCAAAAACAGATGATGTGCAGGGTATAGATGGAGACGAGATTTAGAGAATATCCCTACACTATCCCATGTTGTCTCAGAACTTCAAGGAGTCTGAGAATTCCGGCCTGCCAGGTCCCTATGAAAATATATCTGTCAAGACAGAAGAAGAAAAATCTTTCCTAACAGTTTTTTAAACCTTGATTTGTAACTTAAATATTTAGACATATGGAGCAAATCTTTCCATTCATGCTGTTGCCCTGGGACTTAAATTGTTAGAAGCAGGCCTCCTGGCCCTATCACATACCAGCTGTGTGATTTTAGATTAGCAACCACCTCTGTCAGTCCTACTTTACTGATCTAAAAAACAAACTAGTTAAAATCTCCTTCATAGGATTTTAATGCAATTTAATATTTTTTTCAATAATTTTGCAGGATGCCGAGTACACAGCAAATGTGGGACAAGCTGAGTTATTGTATGTCTGTGCTCTGCCATCACTCTTCTTCCTAGTATGGGCAAAACAGGGACACTAAAGGAACAAAAAAGCAGAATCAAATTCAGGTAAAGTTACAACCAAAACAGCTATTTCTTGGGCTCACTTTAGGAAATTTTTCATTGATTCTATGGAAATAAGATTGTATTATTTTTCTTATAACCATTTCACCCACTAAAATATAAATGGTTTTTTGTACTATATTAGGAGAGGAACATTAACTTCTTCAGGTAATCATTTCTCCGTGTATGTATGTTAAGGCATTATACAGTAAACCTTAAACTGATACAAAGCTGCAGATCAGTTATATCTAAATAAAACTGGGGGAAAATGTCCTCTATAAATGGGAGGGATTTTTTTCCCCTTTTTCTTCACTGTGGCATACATTACTTTCAGATAGCTCTTTGTACAATAAATAGGCATTAATGGACCACTTACAAAAAGCAAGTATGGAATGGTTATCCGATACCTAACATCAATATGATATGTAAGCAAACCTGGCACAACCAGAAAATGAATTATTTATATTTGGTTACTTCATTTAGTTGCTTCCTCCAATTTCAGAAGTTTCCTTTAAAATGAAATTAATGAAAACAGTCATGACTTTTATATGAGGACGTTTCTGCTCTTTTCAACTTTGCTTCCTCACCTGCCTGTGTAGGAATACTAATTATATTCAGTAATTTCATACATAATTCTACCAGAGAGGCTAATTCAATAAATAAATTATAATGAGGCTCTTATTTTGAGGCCCAAATATGATGGGAGGTAGAAAGAAATCCAAAACAGATGAAGGAAAATGTAACTTTCAGCATGTCTCTCTGGTCTTTATCCCCAACCCCTCTGAATCTGGCATCGGTCAATCCTGTCCACTCCTAAGAATGCAAAGCAAGGATGCAACTATAGCCTATACCTCAGCACTCTCTTTAAAACATATTATGGTTTTCAAATTTCCAAATCAATTTAGCACTCTGATGAATGCTAATTTCCAAACTAACAGAGTATTATGGCAGAAGTAGGTAATCTGGCATCAAATCTACTCTGAAACAGGCAGAAATACCCTTGACAACACTATACAAGACACCTGCAGGCAGAGAAGGCTGGTAAGAGAGAGCTCATAGCACATCCTGCATGACTGAGAATTAAAAGTGTGTTATCAAGAGGAACATGTAGCTGTGCTTTCTGCAACACACAAATCACAAAACTAGCCTCAGTATCTATTCAAAGGTCTATTTTAATAAGAATCCGCCCTCCATACTGATCTGATTCTGAAACTCATCTACAACATAAGACATCATCTCAAAGGAAACCCCTCTAGGAGACCTCATGATACTATCAGCAAAATACAAGAAGGGCACTCTTGGGCACTGGCAAAATACACTCCCTTCAGCCTGAAGTGCCCTGACTGGACATAGATGGATTAAACCTCCCTAAACTAAAGTCAAAGCTTTCTTCAAAAAGAAAAAAAAGACACAAAAACTGACAAGCTCTAACACATCCTATTCTAGACCAAAAATACAAAGCTATAAATGTCTAGAAATGCCTCAAGGTGTGTAATTACTGAAGCTAATTAGCATTCTCAAAATTAAACACTCACTGCAATGCTCAAGGGAGTGGGGGTGCAGAAAAGAGGTATGAACAAATGAATCCCACCAAAAACATAAATTCAAATGCATCTTTTTAATAAAAAAAACAGGATTCTGGAATTAAAGATATAACTTGCTGGGAGAAGAAAAATGATTATCAACTTGGTAAGTCTCAATTAAGATGGGAAATTTTTTGCTGCTATTATTTACCAGGAAAATGGAAATTGGGCAGGAAGCTCAGAACTGTAATAATGAATTTGTAATAAAAATAACATGAAAGAGCCTTTCATTCATACCAAAAATACTGTTTTTAAAAATGTATTTTTTAAAAAATCTATACTAAATTATCATTTTCAGTTGGGCCACATAATTTTAACTGGAATCCTGACTTACCTTTATCCTAACCAAGAATTTAAGTGTGGGATCTTGGGTAAAGAAGATTCAGTATTCTGCACAATACAGCTTTAAGAGATTTGATTTCCAGCTCTGCCATTTACAAACTGTGTGATCTTGAGCAAGTTACTTAATATCTTGGTGCCTCAGTTTCCCTTATCTGTAAAACAAAGGTAATAGTAACTATCTCATGGGAAGGTAAGGATTAAACGAGTTAATACACAGCTAAAATGCTTAGACATATGAATAGCATTTTAAAGAGTGCTAGTTATTCTTTTTGTTATTATCAGACTTTTCTAAACTAATACAACCAGATTAAGGTTGTTAAAACTATTGTTAAAACTTGGAAGAATTAATACAGAAATAATATGATCTGTCTTATGGTTCCTCTGAAACTGAGAGAATTGCTTCTGTAAAATGAACAGACTAGGTAGACCCAGAGTAACGTTAGGATTTAAGGTGCTCAATATGCATTTTTCACTTAGAGACAAACATTCTCAGATATAATCTAATATTCCTGTACCAGAGGAATGAAGTTCCCTTCCTGTGCCTACCAGGAAAATCAACAGTGCAGTAGACAAGTAAATTATAACGTATTATGTTAAGTACAAGTTACAGCTGTTCACAAGGTTAAATGAAATAGAGGAATCTAAATCATACCAGAGCAAAGCTGTCCAGAAGGAGGGAATGCTTAAGCTCAAGGGCAAAAAGTATTTAGTCAGAGAAGTGGAGAAGAAGACCTAGATTCTATACTAGCTGGACGAATTGAGTAAAGTTACTTAACCTCTTTACACCTCAATTTCCTCATGATAAAGAGTATTTCTTTTGAAAGGTTGTATAAAGATTAAATAAGACAATATATGTAAAATAATTAGAACAGTGCTAGGAATGTTCTAAGATCATTCAATAATATTAACTAACAATAATATTAATATAGATGTATGAGGCACCATGATGCTTTCTCAGAACTGCAGGTATTAAATAAAGGAAGCTACCATATAAGGTACTCAAAGAAACGTGTCTTAAAAAGAAGCCAGAGGGCCTCCCTGGTGGTGCAAGGGGTTAAGCACCACACTATGAAGCAATATACAGCCTCTGCAGCATGAGTTTGATCCCTGGCCGGCCAGGGAGCAACCATGGCACAGGAGACCTCTCCTGTCCCGCTGCTCCCCTCAGCAGTGTGTTTCAGTAGATCTGCCTGTTCTGCTCCCCACTCTGCCTCTGGTGAGTCCTCTCATCCCCCGCACCTGTGGCCTGTATCCCAGCTCTTGTATGCATAAATAAATAAATCTTTAAAAAAAAAAAAAGCTAGAGGCTAGAGGCACAGGATCATAAGACACCTTATATATTAACAAAAGCTATCAGAAATTTGTAATGGATTTTCAGAAAGGAGTTACAGCATATTTTTATTTCAGAAAGATTACTTCTGCTACAATGTAGATAGTTTAGAAATAAGATAAAAGCAGAGATAACTGCTAGGAAGGAAAACAGGAAAATATTTGGGCAAAAGAACTAAGGAGACTCTCACCTAGGAGGTATTAAGGAGACAGAATCATTAAAACTTAGTAACATGAGAGATTTGTAGGATGATCAGGACACAAGTCTAAGCAGTCACCCAGGTGACTGGACAGAAAAGCACCTCTTCTAGTGGGCCCTAGGACTCCTGGGCAACCTCCAAAACATTTTCATGGGATCTACAAGCTCAACCCATTTTTTTAATAACACTAAAACCTTATTTGCCCTTCTCACTCTCATGCCCTCGCAGGTATACAATACCATTTTCCAGAAGATACATGACATGTAACATCACAACTAACTGAATTAATGTTTTTGTGTCCTTTGGGTAGACTCCTAGGAGTGGAATTGTGGGTCATATGGTAGATCCATTTTTAATGGCTCTGAAGAACCTCAACACAGCTTTCCACAGTGATTGGACCAGTTTGCATTCCCACCAGCAGTGTAAGAGGATTTCTTTTTTTCCACATTCTCGCCAGCATTTGTTGTTGCCAGTTGTTTTCATATGGGCTATTCTCACCGTTATGAGGTGGTATTTCATTGTGGTTTTCATTTGCATTTCCCAGATTATAAGTGATGTTGAGCATTTTTTCATATACCTGTTGGACATTTGCATGTCCTCTTTGGAGAAGTGTCTTAGTTCTTCTGCCTATTTTTTGATTGGGTTTAAAACCTTGCATTTTAGGCGTCTTCCTGGTGGCGCAAGGGGTTAAGCGTCAACACTATGAAGCTACCCACATTTACTACAGCACGAGTTCTATCCCCAGCTAGGGAGATGACACACATGGCACAGCAGACCTCTCCTGTCTCCCCACTGTTCCCCTCAGCAGAGTATTTCAGTCAATCTACCTGTTCTGCTCCCCACTCTGTCTCTGGGTGAATCCTCTTACCCCTGGCACTTCTGGCCTGTACCCCACTTCCTGTATGCATAAACAAATAAATCTTTAAAAATAAATAAATAAAACCTTGGATTTTAAATGGAATGGGCATGGTGAGAACAGTGGCAGATTAGCAGCAGCAAAGGCCAGAGAAGTAAGCAGAGGCCTCAGGATACATCAATATTTAAGAAGTAACGAAGAGGGAGATTGATTCCATAGAGAGGGAAAGAAAAGTTATTAAAAAAATAGAAATGAAAATGAAAAGAGCATATCATTAACTATAAATTAAATAGAGAAAAAGTTGGTCACAGCTTTGAAGAAAAGCAAAAAAAACAATCCTCCATTAGTAATGGCAGGGAAAAGGGGGATAGGTAAATGAAATCTAGCATTAACTCCAAAATCTAACTCTAGCCAAGCATTTTCATCTCTTCTTACATACTTTTTTTCCTAATCAGTTACTCTTGAACAAAAGAATGACTCTGGGCTCATATTCTTTGCCTTCTTTGTCCATAAGTGAAAAAATGACTAAAAGAATAAAGATGAAAAGAAAAGGAAAGATCCTGGGTGAAATATAAAAAGGGAGTTGACTGAAGCAATGACTTAATGAAGAGAAATTGATTCATCCGACAAATACTTACTGAGTAACACACTGTATCATGAGAAGCACTGTCAAAAGACAGTTAATACACCAAGATATGTCTTTGGTTCATCACAGATGTGACAGACTAGAAATAGAAAGAAAACTTTGATGAGACTGGCAGAAACAGAGGCCATTCTAGTCCAAAGGTGGTTCTAACAGATTCCCAGACCTCAAAGTCACCTAATTATTGAAATGTGTCCTAATTACACAAAATAATTCCAAAGAAATATTTTCTTCAAATGTCTAATAACTAATTGGTCCTTTGGCAATGGTAGAATCTGAGTTTTTAGATAAGTACAGCTTTGAAATGCAGAGACAAATCTTTAAGAAATATAAGTATTTGTATTAAATCATCATAAACTCTAAGTTCCAAAATTACTAATAAAAGTCAAAGGATAATTACCTGGCTGAATGTACTCAGGCTAAGAAGCCTGCCTATTGGTGAACTCTCCCCTATAAATATAGGAAAATGTGATTTTTACAAATATATTCCTTATTTTAAGAAAAGAACCATATGGGTAATAATAAAAAGTATATGAAAACACCCAGAATCTAGCACTATATTCAAGAGAACCCTGAACAAGAAAAGATATATTATCACACACAAGCTTTCACTAAAATCTTTCTATACCATCATCTTGTGCTTTGGTAGCTGACCTATTTCTAGTGATAAGCCTGTACCTAACTGATTTGCAAATTTCTGGAAATAGCTGGGCTTTATTATAATAGTTAACAGACACTAAACATCAGAAGTATCTTTTTGTCTGAATTATATTTAGCCTCTATCCTGTCCCCCTTTTTATTAAGAACTGAAGAAAGGAATTATAGGACAATTGCATTAAGCATTCCTGATATTATTGAAACCCCAGGGTGAGAGGAAGGTTTCATTTTTTACTAACTTGGAGTAACAGGGATCATCACATTTACCTTCCTGGCAAAAACAACCAAAAAAAAAAAAAAAACAGACAAAATGTATAAAAGAATGATTTTTAAGACACTGTGCATCAGTAATTTACAGGAAGCTGCTGAGAGATGGGAAACAAATAAGGTAAGCCCTGTGATTGTCCAAGTTGCCTAAAATATTTTCAAGTAATGTCAAAAGGAAGGGGGCTCTAGGGAGATCCCAGATAGAGTCTGACATGTGCCCTCATTGGAGAAGACAGGAGTGAAAAATCTAAGAAAACAGAGGAGTCTAGAATGTACAGTAAACTACAGGTTGGAGAAAATATCTGCAAATAACATATAGAACAAAAGACTTGTATCCAGAATATACAAGGAAATGTCAAAACTCAACAGTAAAGAAACAATTCAATTAGAAAATGGGCAAAAGACATGAAAAGACATGTTCAAAGTCACTAGCCATCAGGGAAATACAAGTAAAACGACAGTGAGCTAGCACTGCACACCTATTATAGCAATGAAAATAACAAAAAAAATGAAAATACCACATGTTGGTAAGGATGCAGAAAAACTGGACCACATACATAATAAGCTGGTAGGAATGTGAAATAGTACAGTCACTCTGAATGACAGTTTGGCAGTTCCCTATAAAATAAAATAGGCAATTATCATATCACCCAGTATTCTTGGGCATTTATCTGAAACAAATAAAAATTTATGTTTATACAAAAACCTGTACATAAATGCTCAATTAGTTTTATTATAGCCAAAAATTAGAGCCAACATTTAAGTCCTTCAACCACTATATGCAACAGGTATAAACAAACATAGCATAGCCATACCATGAAATACTGCACAGCAATGAAAGGGTATTGATATATGCAACACCTTGTTTGGATCTCAAGGGAACTAGGCTGGATGGGGGCTAAAAGTCAGCCTCAAAAGGTACCATACTGTGTGATTATATTTAAATACCATTTTTGAAATGACTATTATAGAGATGACTACAGAACAGACTAGCAGTTACCAGGGTTACAAGTTTATGAATGAGGTAGAGGTAGGAAGGATTCTTGTAGGAATGGAGCTATTCTACACTTGATAGACAAATTCATGTTATAAAATTCCAAAGAACCACACACACATCTAATACCATTCACACAAGAATACACAAATTGTGTGTAAATACACATACAAAAGATTGCACGTAAAGTTGATTATGGTGCGATAGGTATATAAGCTGTTACCACTGGAAGAAATTGGGTAAAAAGCACATGGAACATAGCTGTACTTTTTTTTTTTTTTGCAGTTTCCTGTAGATTATACTTATTTCACAATGCAGTTAAAAGAAATGACTAAGAAATTATATAGATTAAAGAATTAGTAAAGGAAGACATGTAAAACATTATTACAACTATATTCCATATATGCAAAAATCTAAAGGAAAAACTGAGCACATTAGGTAGAGGTAAAAACATTCTGAAATGTTGGAGATTAAAACACACTACATAAGATTAACAACGCACTAGAAACTGAAACAGAACAAGTAGGGGAAGGGAGACTAGGACACAGCAATAGAAACTGGTGAAAGAAAAAACATTCAAAGAAAATGAACAAAGCATCAGTGAACTATAGGATAAATTCAAAATTAATACAAAAAATCCATTTACAATAATAAAAATCAAAAAATACCTAGGTATTAATTTATCAAAGTGTAATAGGATAGGATTTTTACAAGTATAAGACTTGTATATCCAAAATTACAGCTATTACTGATAGACATGAAAGAAGATCTAAATAAGGAGAAAGATACCCCAAGTGCTCAGACTGAAAGACTTAAAATTGCTAAGATGCTAACATTCTCAAAACTGATGTACAGGGCCTCCCCAGTGGCACAGCGGTTGAACGCTGGGTTGTGAAGCTGCCCTCAGCCTCTGCGGCGCCAGTTCGATCCCCAGCTGCTCCCCAGCCACCGGAGGAGGGTCCTACATGGCACGCAGACCTCTCCTGCCACCTGCTGCTCCCCTCAGCAGTGTACTTCGGTCCTTCTTCCTGCTCTGCTCCCCGCTCTGGCTCTCTTGAATTCTCTCGCCCTCCCAAGCTTCTGACTGTACCCAGTGCTTATATAAATTAATTAATTAATTAAAAAAAAAAAACTGATGTACAGATTCAATGCAATCCTTACCAAATCCTAACTGACATTTTTGTAGAAACTGACAAACTGATCCTAAAATTCACCTGGAAATGCAAGGGAACTAGAATAAACAATACAAACTCAAAAAAGAAAAACACTGGAGGACTCACATTTCCCAATTTCAATTTACTACACAAAACAGTAATTAAAAACAGTATTGTAAACAGAATTGAAAATCACAAAATAAACCCTTATATTTACAGACAATTGATTTTTCTCAAGATAATCAAATAGCTCAAGGATGATCTTCTCAACAAATAGTGCTGGAAAACTGTACATCTACATGTAAAAGAATAAAGATGGCACCATACCTCACACCATACACAAAATTTAACTCAAAATGGATCACAGCACTTAATGTAAAAAGTGAAACTGTAAAACTCTTAGGAGAAAACACTGGGGAAAAAAATGTCTGTGACCTTGAGTTAGACAAAACCCACTGAAACACAACACTAAAAGTATAAGCAATAAAATAAAAAATAGACCAGGTGGACTTCATCAAATTTAAAATTTCTATGACAATACCAAGGAAGTAAAAAAACAACCCATAGAATGGGAAAAAATATTTGCAAATCATGTATCTGATGAAAGACTTGTACCCAGAATAAAGAATTCTTACAACTCAAAAAAAAAAAAAGACAAGTTATCCAAATTTTTTAAAGATAAAGGATTTAAACATACAGTTTTCCAAGAAAGATATACAAATAGCCAAATACATAAAAAGATCCTCAACATTATTAGTCATCGAGGAATTGCATATCAAAACTAAGAGATACTACTTCACACCCACTGGAAGGGCTAGAACGAAAAAGCAGTAAGAGGTTTTGTATACAAACTGGGATTTCTCCCCACGCCAACCCCCATACACTGCTGGTAGGAATATAAAATAGTGCAGCCATTTTGGAAGCAGTTTAACAGGTTCCTCAAAAAATTAAAGCATTACCACCTGATTCAGCAATTATACTTTCTACCTACATAGTCTAGATAAGTGAAAACACATATCCACATAAAGTTATATATAAAGATTTTATTGTATCCAAAAAATGGAAACCCAAATGCCCACCAACTAATAAATGGATAAACAAAATGTGATATGTCCACTATGGAATAGTATTCATACATAAAAAGGAACTAGGTATTGATATACACTACTTGGATAAACTTAGATAAACCCTGAAAATGGTACACTAAGTGAAACAAGTCAGATTCAAATGCTCACATATATGACTCCTTTTGTATGTTATATCCAGACGAGGCAAATCCGTTGACACAAAGCAGATGAGAGGTTTCCAGGGGGTAGAGGGGACAGGGAAAGATTACTTAATGGGTATGGAATGGTTTATGGAATGATGAAGTTCGGACACTAGACAGCTGGTGGTTGCACAACATTGCAAATAAACTAAGTATCACTGAATTGTATATATCAAAATTGTTAGTTGTATGTTATATGAATTTCATATTGATAAAAAAAGAAATTAACTTGGAAGGAAACATGCAACAGCATGGACAGATCTCAAAGTAATTACGCTTAGTAAAAAAAAGTCAAAATAAAAATATACTTTATAATCCCACTTATACAAAATTTTAGATAATGCAAACTATTCTACAATGACAAAAAGTTGCCCAGTGTGTGCCTGCAGACTACAGAGTGGGGAAGAATTACAAAGGAGGGTTAGGACAGTTGTGCAGAGGGTGACGTATATGTTCATTATCTTGAACACGTATGTCAAAACTTAATTGTACACTTTGAATATATGCAGTTTTCTGTATGTCAATTATACCTTAATTAAGTTCTTTTTTTGAAAAAGATGGGGGAAGGGAAAACAGGGCAACGTACTTGTGCTTGCCACTCCATAACTGACAGAGTAATATTAAAGGCAGCTTTACTTGGTTGAGTGTAGACACAACACTTGACAAAATTAAACATATAAAACCAAAGCAGCATATAAATTTGAATCTTTATAAACTTAAAAATATTTCCATTAATGCAATCTTCCATTTTTGACGCTCAATCTTCATTTTTGACTGGTCTTCAATTAATAGTGCTACAAACCCTCCCAGTCCTGAACAATTACTGTGATCTGTAAATAAACAATTACACACACCAAGAGAGCGCCTATAAGAATCTCTAACAAGGTTTCTTAAAGCTGGACAGTATCTCAAATGTGAAAAACAAAAACAAAAACAAAAAAGGCTAGTATCATTTATATTAATCACCTCTTAAGAATGCCCAGATTTTAGATATTCACTTCTGTAGATAACTTACTCAAATAAATAAAAATTATTCCAAAACTTACCTATTTACTACAAAGCTAGAAAAGCTTTAAGGCTAAAAATTCCAAACTGGATCTTTCTTTCCCAATGTCTTAAACAGAAATAGTGGGGAAAATTATGAAAATGGGAATGAAGTTCAGACAATCAAAACTATTTATATTCATCTTTATACCAGATGAGGCAACTCAAGCTACCATCATCTCTTCCTTCCACTACGGCAGTAGCCTTTATTTTTTTAATTCAGCGGAACTTAGTATGTGGTGAATCTCATTTTCTTCATCTATTAAATGGTTATGAGGACACTTTCAACAGCCTGAGGTTATGTGAAGATTAAATGACAATACAGGCATAGCACTTCATTTGTTACTTGGCACATTCAAAGTGCTCCATAAATATTACCTATTAGTGTTACCTGAATAAAGGTTCAGCCTCCATGAGCCCAGCGCTGGAATGGCATCATATAAGAACTGAGTCTAACCTCAAAAGAAAAAAAAAGGGGGGCAAGTTAAAAGCCATTTAAATCAATTTATTAAGACTCTCAAAGAAAGTAGAGATCCATTTCCAAATCCGCAGTAGCTTACTATCATCTTTCCCAATTTATTTTGCTCACGATATTTTTCACAACCCCCACCTGCCCTCAACCTTCCACACCCGCCCCTTCTCTCAGTTCACAAGACACTCTGCCCGTTTGGCTCTTCCCTCTCTCAACCCCTCTCTTCTTATGAGCAGTTTTCAGTTCACTTTTTTATATCAAGTAATCTTCAGGTTTTACTCCTTAAAATTCCTCGGCTGTTTTTTACCCATTATCCTTAAACAAGTCCACAAACTTGGCTAGCAGGTCTGGAGTCTCTGTTCATAAGTGCGCTCTTGGTAGTGTCCTGCAGCCCAATTTCCAAGAGATGTGTGAGTGCTGAGACTTCCCACACCCACAAGCAACTCCAGCAATGTCAGGGCGTCTGACATTCTACTCAATTCAGGTGTTACCTGATACGTCAGGTTGCACTGTTTAAAGGGTCAGCCTCCCAAGACTGTTCTCCACAAGCCCATGTTTCTGACCAAGTGGTTAATGATCAAGGTCCCCTGATCCCTTCCTCGGACTGCATACCCCAGATTATTTGTACTTCTGCAGGAATGGCTATAAATCAGAGCTTCCCCAGGACACCCACCTCAAGTTTGATTAATTCTCTGGAAAGGCACACAGAACTCAGCAAAACAGTTTACTCACTAGATCATTGATTTATCACAAAGGGTGTTAAAGGAGAGGAACCAAAAGCCAGATGACAGGGCAAAGTATGGGAAAAGTATGCCTTCTGGAGGCCTGCCATTCTCCCCAAATCTTCACAGGATTACTAACCCCCAAGTTCTTTGAAGCCCCTTCCTTTTGTGATTTTATCAAACACTGACTTGAGTGAATGAATCACTGGCCATGGGCAACTGAACTGCATCTCTATCCCTCTCCCCTCCAAGAAAATCAGGGAATGGGAATGAAAGTTCCACCCTCTAATCATGGTTTCCCTGGCAACTAACACCCCTAGGTATTTTCCAAAAGTTTCCTTCATTCACGTAACAAGAGACACCTTCAACACTCAACACTTAATTCCACTGAGAGTGAAGACCTACAATATGTATATGATATCTGGTCATGTGATAATGACTGTTCAAGATGCCCATACACACACACACACACACACACACACACACACACACCCTCACACCTGTGAATCACAGTATCACAGTAAGAAAGAAGTAAAAGAGGTCTGATACAGAATTTTCTTCAGAGTAGGAATGAATACTGCAAATACATGATTTAATATTGCCACACCCCATTTGCAATACATATTATTATAGTGATCGCAGGGCTCTGAAGGGCGCCTACTGTCCCACCCAATTTAGGAAACCCTGAATGGCGAGCGCCACCACTGGAATTCTTAACATGCCTAAGCCAGTCTGAGCTCTTGGAAGCTCTCAAAGTACCTAAGCCCAGGACCAGGATGCCCAAGTGCGGGGTATCTCCAGCTCATCATTTTGTTTTACACCACTAAAGTTTGTCTTCCCAATTATCTCAGAAGGATTTCTATTAAAAAGTTCTTTCAGTTTCTTTACAATCCCTGTACATCAGGATCTGGGCATTAGGGGTGTGTCATGGTTTGGTTAGGGTTGAAAAAGTATGGCCAGAGGACACTGCTCTTTGCCTCTCACCACCGACCTGTAATGCAGGGACCCCAATACACACCTTGATCCTGAAACACTGCCTGTGTGGTACCTTTTTTCCACAGTACCTTGCAGTTTTAAAATAAGCTCTAACAGCACCTTAACTAATCTATTTCTAGTCTGGGGATTCTTCTATCTGTTCTCCCCAGAGAAGCAGAATTTTTTTTTTTTAATGTAAATCATATCATTCAACTTTCTTGCTCAATAGTGTCCTCCACTAATAACTCCCCATCATTCCAAACATGGTCTCCAGAGCCCTGCAAAATCTGGCCCCTGCTTATTCTTGATGAAACCACATACTCCTCACAAGGTCTTTGCATTTGTTGTTCCTCCTACCCAAACCTCTCTCTCTCATCAAGGAAATGTTAGTTCTGCCTTCCTGCAAGTAACAGTTCATGTGTCACTAATAGCAGGTCTTCCCTGATCACCCAGTCTGAAGTACCATCCCTCTTTTCTCCCTTCTCAATCACACCACCACACCCACTTTTTTCATAGTCCTTATCATAAGCTGTAATTATTTATGTGAAAATTATCTACTTATTTGAAAGTTGTCTATCTTCTTAAATAAGGATATAAACTCTTTGAGGGCAAAAGTCTTGTCTTGTTCATATCTATACCTCCAATGCAAACAGTGTTTGACACATAAAAGCAATAAAATAGTTTCCTTCCTGATTAACTTACAAAATTAAGTGCTATGCCTGAAATAAACTTACATTTTTGAAAGTTTATACAGTCACTCAGATGGTCAAGCTATGAAAACCCTATGTTTTCTTCTGATTCTAAAAATTTGCTTTGTATTCTCAGAAGCTTCTTTCCTTTCTCTCATGGTAAAATCTGCACTCAGAAAATAAGATGGCGGTTCTATCTGGCAAGACTGTTCTGTGAGGCCTGAATCCAAAGTTTTCAAGCACTGACAAAGATCTGGCTATCAGCATTGAATGGAGGAGTGCCTTGCAGTCCAGAACTAGACTAAACTGACCCAAGTTGCAAATGCCTGTGACAGAATCACAGTTGATAAAATGTTTTGTAAAACACTCTCAATGTCTTAAAGATATACTCACAGGAGTGGGAAGATTCAGTTCAGCCATCTGACTAGTGGAGCATTCTGTAAAGCCTTAATAATGGCCCTGTCACCAGAAAGACAGATACATTGTCCTGGCCTTCTAATCAGTCGCATTTAGTAGACAACATTCATCTTTTACAATAAAATGCCACCTTGGAGTTTCTATTCCTATCAAAGAATCGCTGGTTTGGACAATAGATAAATTAGAATCTACAGTTAACAAATCTACTTGTCTAGGACCCAAGACAATTAATTAAACTTATCTTGGAGAAGCAGAATAGCCTCTAGTCACCTGGAGACAAGTTTGAAAGATCCTAACAACTGTAACACTTGGGCATACCAAAATGGTTGTAATCTGAAAAGTAGCCACATCACTTCCAGTGGTGCACCTACACTGAAAGTGACCATCCCCCTCTAAAATAATGTCTAAATCAGCTGAATCTTGAACAATGAGACCAATTTTTCTCTAAAATAGGATTATGACAGCTTCCTTAATGAGAAACCCAATCAAGTCAGGGCAAGGGTTCATTGCACTGACACTGTCACTTGTCTAGGACTTCAGCTGATTCATTCTGAAGGGCTGACAGGTCACTGGTATCTGTGCCTTGCCCAAGATTCTTGTTTATTTCACATATGACAAACACTGTCAAGACAACTGCAATCCAGACAACTTCTGCTATGAGCCTTTCCCTTCCCGACTTCATTAAGCTCTTTGGGGAACAAAGTTGTTGTTTCAGGCCCATATTACTAAGTCTGAATAACAAGGCAAAGAGTGCTGGGAACAGAGCCCATAAAAGGACCCCTCAGCAATTAATAATTTTTTTAAAAGGATAACTAAACAAAGATCAAAATCACCTGGGAAAGATACAACTATCTTCAATATTGACAAACGTTTGGCATTATTACAGTAATTTCAAAAACAGTCACAAAGTCAGGACCTGAAAATGTCTGGTACTTGGCCATACCGAGTAATCATAAAGGACAGTCTTTACCAAGTAAATGTTCTTACACAGACTTCAGGAAAGACAAGACAATTTTAAAAAAGAAAAAGAGAACCACCCCACAAACTATGTGCTTTAATTAAAAGAAATGGGGGGAGGGAGAAATAAGGAGAAAGGGGGAAACAAACAAGAGCTATGGCTACTGTTCTAGATTAAGCATGGCCACAAAATATTTGCAGCAATTCCACTCAAGAAGTGGAGTTCACTTCCCCACTCCTTGAATCTGAGCTGGACTATTTACTCACTTTGTCCAAACGAATGCAATGAATGAAAGTGTGCAATTTCTGAGCCCAGGCCTTAAGAGGCTTTTCAACTTCTACTCACTTTATGAAACCTAGCCACTATACAGAGAAGCCAAGACAGCCTACAGGGAGGCCATAACGTCCGGATGACAGCTGCAGTCCAATGCTGGACAAGTGAGTAAGGCTATACAGGTCCAACTAGGTCCTAGTCAATCTGCCAAATGATCACAAGAGTGAGCCCAGCAGACACCAGCAGAACAAATCAAGCTGTTGCAGATGAGCCCTGCCTAACTCCCCCCATTGAATCATAAGTAAATAACTGGTTATTTTAAGTCACTTATTTTAAAGTAAGATTTGGGGTGGTTTGGTCCACAGCAATAGAAAACAGAAACATCCACAATTGGCTGAGAGTAAGTTAAAACATCAACAATGACCCACTCAAAATCACTATGTGCATTCCCACAGTGTAACGAAACTGGAATCTCTAAAGAATAATACACAGTGCCTCCCTGGTGGCGCAAGGGGTTAAGACGCAACCTATGAAGCTATCCACAGCCACTGCAGCACAAGATCGATTCCGGTCAGGGAGCTACCCACATGGCACAGCAGACCTCTCCTGCTGCACCCACTGCTCCCCTCAGCAGTGTATTTCAGTCAATCTACCTGTTCTGTTCCTCACTCTGTCTCTGGTGAATCCTCTCACCTCCCCACACCTCTGGCCTATACCCCAGCTCTTGTATGCATAAATAAATAAATCTTCAAAAAAACAAAACAGGCTCACCTTTCATTGGTAAAACATATACCATAATGTATTGCTTAATAACAGGGACACTTTCTGAGAAATGTGTCATTAGGTGATTTTGTCATTCTGCTGCACACCTAGGCTAATATGGCACAGCCTATCAGGACTACTGCTGTATATGCATCATTGACCATAACACCATTAAGTGACACATAACAG